TGAGTAACATTTTGAATGCAGGACTTTTACTTGTAACAGAGTATTCCTACACTCTGGTACTTCTACTTGTACTCAAGTACAAGGTCTGAGTACTTCTACTTTTATTCAAGTACAAGATCTGAGTACTTCTCCCACCTCTGGAACCCTTGCACCTGGGGTAAGCACAGTTTGAATCAGCTTTTGTGAGTAACCGCACACAGAGCCGTTTAAGCTTAATGTTGCTTTTACTGATAAAAAAGCTCTAATGACAAGACTATAGTCCTTTCAAAAGTAATAGCTGTTACAGTAAGGAATCCGTCTGTACACAAGCAGTGTGCAGTGTAGGCTTACCCATCTACACCTTTTGTACATGTTAGTTTTGAAGGCAGTTCCTCATGCCATGCTGTATCTTAATACAACAGACCAAAGAAAACAATGACAGCTTTTTGAACTGTCTCTATTAATATATTGAGTTGAGTGACACACAGGGGAGTTAGTCCCCACATTTTGCCTTAAAAGTGTTCAAGTGCGGGTTAAAGCTTGCAAACAAGGGATCTTTCAGTAGTGATTTGGGGATGAAGATACTTTAGTAATTTTATATATATTAATTTTATTTAGGCAAAGTTATCTTTAAAATGTACACTAATATTAATAATAATAATAAACTTTATTTATATAGCACCTTTCATGCTTGACGCAGCCCAAAGTGCTTTACAGAGTATGACAAAACAAATTACAATAACAAATGAGGAACATAATTAAAATTAAAAAGATAGGTCTTTTATTTACTTTTAAAAATTCCAATTGAGGTTGCCGTTCTAAGATCAAATGGAAATGAGTTTTCTTGTAATGCACTCTATAGGTACTTTTAAAAGTGAAACATTGGTGGATCTAAGTGTCCTTGCTGGTTGATAAAATGAGAGACAGTCACTTAAATATGTTAGGGCAAGGTTATGTAAAGCCTTGTAAATCATTAAAAGCACTTTAAAATCAATTCTGAAGAGCACCGGTAACCAGTGCATTGATTCCAGCACAAGCGAAATGTGGTCTCTTTTTTGTGTGTTTGTTAAAATCCTGGCTGCAGCATTCTGAACTAATTGCCATTTATGTGTGGATTCTTTAGGGAGACCAGTAAACAGAATTGCAATAATCCAAGCGACTAGTAATAAAAGCATGTACAACCATTTCAGCATCATTCTGAGTTAAAAATGGTCTGATCCTGTTCCTTAAGTGGAAAAACGAAGTTTTTGCAACCTTGTTAAAATGGCTTAAAAATGTTAAATCACAGTCAAAAATTACCCTGAGATTTGTAACTTTAGTTTTTATATATTTGGACATGCTGGAAAACAAAGACTCTACTCTCTGCCGTTCTGCTTTTGGGCCTACTAGTAACATTTTAGTTTTTTGCTCATTTCTATTTAAGAAGTTATCATTCATTCATCCAATTATTTACAACATTAAGACAGGTAAAAAGGTTATTTACAGAACCGGGGGTTTGGGGTGAAATGGAGATATACAATTGTGTGTCATCGGCGTAACTGATATTTCACATTGTAATAGTTTATGATATTGCCAAGAGGGAGCATGTATAATGAAAATAGAATAGGGCCCAGAATGCTTCCTTGAAGAATTCCATATTCAATGTTATAGGTTTGTGACACAAAGTCTCCCAAACTTACAAAGAATTTCCTTACAGACAGGTATGAGCGAAACCATCCAAGGACTGTCCCTGAGAGACCCACCCATTTCTCAAGACGGTTCATTCAAATACTGTGATCGATTGTGTCTAATGCTGCACTGAGATCTAAAAGAAAGAGGACAGCTACATTGTTGGAATCGATTATCATTCTTAGGTCATTCGCTACCTTTAATAAAGCTGTTTCAGTGCTGTGGTTTGTTCGATAGCCAGACTGGAATTTATCAAAAATGTTATTGTTGTTAAGATGATGGAGTAATTGGTTGAAAACAATCTTTATATATTATCAAATTATTTTTAACCCATAAATAAATTCAAGGTCTCTGCGCATGGTAAAGTACAGTATTCTTTCACAAATGCAGCTTGATTCTAATATCTATCTGTCTGATACAGAAGCAATTATTTTGACTTTTGTGGATGCACCTTTTTAAACACAACTGGTCCGAAAATTAGTTAAATAGGGATTGTGATCTAAATAGGATGTATAACTTGTGGAATACATTTTTCCTGTGATAATGTAGGAAATCTTATTTCATGGGGACCTTACGTTGGAAAAGTAAACAGACAGAACATGACATCATCTTGGTTGGAACTAAATAAGAGAGATGAGAACAGGATGGGGGAAGGATTAGTGTGACAGCACGGTAAAATGAAAAGATAACATGGTTGAGTGAGATTGCCAAAAACCAAATCATGCCTCCACCTTTCACATCAATGTTATTTTTTCACTAATTACATAACAAACACAAACACTCCATAATTCAATATGCCTTCATTCAACCAGATCCAACCGGCATCATGTCCTACACATATAAGTCTCTCCACCCTGCCTCCGTCCAAAGCACTCCTCCAGGTCAGCTACAGGTACAGTACCGCCGCTCTGCTCAGAACTGTGCTGTCAGGGAACTATTACAGGGGATTACATTATCTGATTGGGTTTTGGCTTATTTACATTATTTGTAGGTTTGTGAAGTGCAGACCATTTCTGGAACCTATCTGAGGTAGCATAGATAGTTCCCAGAAGCTAGGACTGAAGGGAATGATTTATGGTCAATCACTATTTACACTTCACTATTTATACAGTATAGAGGTAGCTTCTGTAAAAAATGAAAAAGATGTTTAGTTTTAAGTTTGCTAAATTTGTCTCAAAAGTATAGCAAAGATGTACTTTTGGATTACTATTGATAAAAAAATGTTGGTAATGCAATTAGCATTACATTCAACATCTGGGTATTTTTTATTGTTTTTTTTATCTTTGAATTTGTTTGAGGATTGCTGTTTCTAGAGCTTGTATCACTTTGCAGTACCTATACCACTGAGGACTGGATCATGTTCTGCACCATCAATTAATACAATTTCATGCATTCATTCTGTAATGGCCTATGTTATGTATGCCATGTACAGTAGCTAACGGTCATTTACGAGATAACTTTTATGATTGGGTTTTGGCTTATTTACTTTTATGATTGCTTGCAGTGGCATCCATATTTGAAACTTCAAAGCATGTTTACATGGTCTTAGACGTTGTAGGCTTCCTCAGTTAGTGCATATTCGTTTCCTTCTGCAGTGATCTGCTGATACTTAACATTATTAGTGTAAAATAATAACACTACAACTGTCTTTAGTCATATTGGTGTTACTCTCAACAGTATATACTTGTATATCCATAGCCTACAGCTATAGCCACTATGACTAATTATGCTTGTACTGCTGCGCCCGCCTTAATTACACACTAAAGGCAATTCAATGAGTGACAAGGTAACAACAATGTCACAATAATCCAGGGTCAATATATACAGTATATATTAGCCTACAGTCATATATCAATAAACCCTGTTCACTGGGGTAAGGGCAGTTTGACTAAGCCTTTGTAGATGGAGAGGTTGCCCCACCATGTGACCTGGCACACAGACACATTCAAGCCTGAAGTTGATACAGGCCAGTGATGCACTACTGATTTACTAGTAATCTCACTCTCACTCCATCAGATGGCCATTTGTGTGTTCTGGAATATCACAGCCAGGACAGCTGACAGCCGGCACGCATTCATTCATATATATCATTGTTTTCCTTTCATTTAACATCATCATAGTTGTACACTGAGAGGCAACAGAGCTAATGCAGACATATGTTTTTTACTGGCCAGATATCTGCGATAGTATTACGAGTTAAAATGGAGACATTGTGACACTGCTGCTGAGGGCTCTGTGTTTCATGCTCCCTCCTGACCGGACATATCCTTCATCAAAAAGCAGAATATGAAGTATGACCGAGCATCTGATATCAGGTACCGAGTGGTGTTACTGCAGCAGCAGATCTAATGACACTGAACAGTGGCTGTGTGGCTGCAGAGTGTTAATGGACAGTTGTTATTTAACTCGAAACAAGCCACAATCGTGCGCGTGCACGCATGCTTGCGTCATGCATGCTTCGCTCTGCTACTTAATTAAATAGCACCACACCCTGCTCTTATCTCTGTGGGCTGGGCGAGACTCCAGGACTGTTTGACAGTCTGTCCCTGCTCTACAGATCACATTTGTTAATGCTTTTAAATTAATTTGCTTCTGTTAAATAAGTTTCTTTTGATAAACCATTGTTTGTCTCTCATGTTTGTCATGGTTTAAGAGCCAGCTCCTGACTCACCTCCTTTGGGCAGGCCTGTTCTGTCTGTGTAAACACTTTTGTTCCGCTATAACTACAGAGCTTTAATTATTCATGTAACACAGGCATCATACCCAGCTTATACTATTATATAAAGTAAATCAAGTTTTTTTAGTAGATGTTAGTTAAAAATTGGGTTGAAAACTACAAATATTTTTAGGGGAAATGAAAGAAAGCTGCATTCTCACGATTTGTCTCTGCCGGCCACAGCACCAGACTGACCAGTTCTCCACTTTTATTTTTCATAATTCATATTTTCTTATTAATGTATTGGCCTACTTCATCATGTGAGAGTTAGAATTGGCAAATGCATGTTCATTGGATGTTAAATATCTGTGGGGGGTGGGCGTAAATGCTTTTCCAGAATTGAGTGTGTGCTGCTATAGTAAAACACAGAAAAGTGGCCGATGGAACTTGCCAATGCGTGTTAGGAAATGAAGCACAACACATGATGTTCAACACTTTATGCAAATGTGGTTTAAAATGCAGCTCAACCCTTGTGTGTGTGTGTGTGTGTGTGTGTGTGTGTGTGTGTGTGGTGTGTGTGTGTGTGTGTGTGTGTGTGTGTGTGTGTGTGTGTGTGTGTGTGTGTGTGTATGTGTGTGTGTGTGTGTGTGTGTGTGTGTGTGTATGTGTGTGTGTGTGTGTGTGTGTGTGTGTGTGTGTGTGTGTGTGTGTGTGTGTGTGTCTCTCTATCAGCCATGGACATCAGGCCTCTCACAGTGTGTTTGGCTGTCTGTGCTGCACTCTTGGCAGGTAATATGAGCGCAGTAACACAGAGTACTAAGTCTTATTCTTTGTCGTGTTTTAAGTTATGTTAAATCTCCTCTCTCTTCCCCAGTGTGTCATGGTTGTTCTACAGGAAGGGAGTTCATCACCACATTTCTTCCTAATTACCAGCGTAGTTCTGGGAAACAGCACACACTCCATTTGGCTTTGACTGCTCAGGACTCTGATGCCACTATTACCATAAAGGTGAGAATCAGAGGTGGGACATGCAACAGTCCAAAAAAGGATTGTTCCAAAATTCATAATGCAGCATACAAATGGCAGCATTTTGCCACATATGAATATAACAATGACGTCAATTCCAATGTACAGTATTAAAGGCTAAAGCACAGAAGCACATCGTATTCACCAAAGAGAAATCTGTGGTGTGTGTGTGTGTGTGTGTGTGTGTGTGTGTGTGTGTGTGTGTGTGTGTGTGTGTGTGTGTGTGTGTGTGTGTGTATGTATGTATGTGTCTTAGGGGAGAAATTGCACTGTATTTCAAGCAAAACTTGACTGTGTCTTCTGGTCAGTCCATCATCGTTTCACATTTCCATGAAAGACAGCATCCAATCTGTTCTAATGAAACTGGTTAATCCTTAACAAATCCCAGCATATAACATGACATAACATCTACAGGTGTCTTCACTGAGATTCTACAGGAAGCTGAGCCTCTCTGCAGGTCAAAGCCAGTGGGTTTCTCTGCCATGTGGATCCGAGCTGCAGAAGCAATTTGTTAATGAAAACTCAGCGGTTCAAATCTCCTCCACTGCTGCGATCTCTGTGGCCTCCTTCAACCGCCGCTTCGCCTCAGGAGATGGCGCTGTGGTTTCCCCCACAGAGGAGCTAGGGACTGACTACTTCGTGTTCACACCCTCAGGAGGCAAGTCGTGCATGGACAAGCTTGTGGCTATTGTTAATGGCAAGAGCCAGAATAGGATCACCATCTTACCTGGTGCTGATGTGTCACTGAGAGGTGGGAACAAGTGGAAGCGTGGGAAGGCGATGACCATACAGCTGGCACCATACGCATCTTACCTTTTACGAGGTCACACAACTTTGACGGGCACACGGATCCAATCCCAGAAGCCTGTAGCGGTGTTAGCAGGCCACCAGTGTCTGTCCATGGGTAAGCTCTGTGAACACGTGTATGAGCAGCTGCCCCCGGTCCACAGCCTGGGTAAAGATTACATGGTGCCCATGACCGGCAGCAAGAAGACCACAAACCAGGCAGTGATAGTCGCTGTTGAAGACAACACTGAGTTGACTCTGCACAAGGACTCAAGAAAACAGTTAAGTTCATTATGAATTCATTATAATATACTGTTGAAGCTACAGCCAAAGATGTCATGGTTTACCCGTGTGCTGGCAGGCCTATCCACCTTCCATCCATCAAACTAACACATAATACTATACGGAGAAATATCATGTAATCATTACTTTTGGAAATATGAATTGACTCTAGTTTCATAATGGGCAAAGATAACTTAATGCAATGCAACAGAAAACTCAAACAAAAAAAATGCTGCGAATAAATTAAAATACAAGCAAAAGAAACACGTCGTCAATACAGAACATGAAGATATGACCTGAAAATACTGAGAACAAGCAAAAGCGGCAACACGGCATTCTGCACGCCACAGATCTGTGGTACAACACTATAGTTTTCAGGCTGATTAAATATCGCCATATGCTGTAAGTGAACGTTTGACTGGTACTTTTGGTATCGACATTTTGCAACCGTATCTCATAACTATAACTTCTGTCTTAGGATTGAACCCTCTTCTCGTTGTCATATTTATGAGAAAGGTTTATAAGGTTATCACTTGTCCCTGTTTGAGAAGACAGAGGCATAATTGTGATTTTTGATTTAGTTGTTTCTATTTACTCCTTGGTTTTGGACAGTGCTACATATATCAATGTAAATGAGTATTCTTGATATATTATTATACATAATATGTAATAATATATATAGTTAGTCACTTACTTTAATGTTAGTCAAAACATTATTTGTCCTGTACTGTCTATATTATAAGAGAACAATATGTTATATCTCAATTGTAAGTATTTATTGTAAATTAAAGTATCCGATGTGAACTACACTTCTATAACTAAGTTGTATGACTCCAACAGGAAGCTCGCAAAAGCTGGAGACGTCATCCTGCAAAAACTGATCTACAAACGTCCACTGGTTGTCAAGAGCAACAAGAAAGTAATGGTGCTGCTTCTCAGCGACAACCGTCCACATGACCCTTTCCTGATAACGCTGATCCCTACGTGCAAGCTGTCCACTGATTGGGCGGTGGAGACAGTGGGGGGGCTTCTGAATACTGTGTCCATTCTGTCAGAGAAGGAGGGGGCAGCCAGTGTGAAGGTGTGTTGGTCAGGAAAGTGCATATCACCTCGGTGGAGTAGCCTCCTGACGGACAAGCACTGGGTGTGGTCCAATGTAGATGTGGGGCGTCAGCAGAGCCATGTGAGGGTGGAGGGGGACGCACTTATGGCGGTGTACGCCTATGGAGGGAAGCACCGCCATTCATACGGCATTGCAGGAGTTTGTTCTGAAGGTACACACAGATTCCCTTACACATACACACACACACTATTTCTACATGTAGTGTACAATGCATAAGTATTTCTATTACAAGTCATATCACGTTATGTACAGTATGCCTGAAAGGGATGAGGAAATGGATGAGTTATAGTGCATATGTGACAAGTTAAACACATTAGGATGGCATGATTACATATTCGTCCATGTGTTTATGTTTATGGTGTGTTTGTATTTTCTGTAGGTATCACCCCTCCCACACCTCCACCGGACCCTTGTGAAAAGGTGAAATGTCGAGTAAAGGAACGTTGTGTGAAAGGAGAATGTGTCCACGTTTCTACAGCAACCTGCCGTGCGGTCGGTGACCCCCACTACCGCACATTTGATGGCCGACGCTTTGACTTCCAGGTTGGAACATCTTGACCCCTCCTCAGCAGCCATTCACTAAAGAGTTTCCTTCTATCATACTCTTGGTATATTCTGTTGACACACTGAACATAAACCAAGAACAGAACTTCTATGAGAAATATTTGATTAAAACGAGCAGTAATCTTTGCCCCTCCACTGTAGGAGCTAGGAATCCCAATCCATTACTCGAGAAAGATCAATAATGTTCATGCATTCATATGATTGTGTGTATATCATTGAAAATGGCCATTTTGTTGTTGAGACTTCCTATGCATTTCCTACACATTATTATTACTATTTTCTGTAATCGCCAGCCCCACCTCATCACACAGCAGCTCACAGCTGATTCTTCCTGTCACTCAGGGAAACTCCAAGAGGCATCTAGGTGGAGGCAGACTTGCCCATTGTTGCAAAGCCCCAATACTCCATAGATGTCCCATTGGACTAAGAGCCTGTTATACTTAAAACAACAACAATGGCTCCAGGCAAACTCTCCCCAATGACGTCATCCGCTGTAAAAACTCTGCCAAATACATACCTAAAAAACTTGATGCTAAATGCACAATAAATGTATTGAATATAAGGCTAGCAAATACGACATTACCGGTTTAAACGTAAGGTATGACATTAACCACGGCCATTTTCCAAACTCTGTCCAAATAAGAAGAAAGAAAGAAAAGCCAGCTGCACAGTATCAAAGATCAACGTGTATTATAGCTAATCAGATGAGCATTGCCCAACACTAATGGTTACTAATAACAACTTTAAACAAGAACAATATTTAAATTGATTAATTTGCCTCCTAACTAAACCCCCGAACTGAATAAGACTAAAATAATGTCTCAGCAACACATTATATTGTCGCCATTCATCACACATTGCCTTACATAAGTCACATCATACAGTCTTAAAGGTTTTCAAACTGAAAACCTTTAAGAGTGCTGCGATTGCACAGTATATTTAGCTTTTAAAAGGCTCACCAGCATCTTGTGTCTCATGAATAATCCTCTTCATAAATTGTGAGAATGGAGCCTTTGTTATTTTGCTTGTCTGCTGGATAAGCCATGAGCAGTGATATGATTCCAACTCACTGGGCCTGGGGGCTTTATAAGATGAAGTGTCCAAAAGTTAAGCAAACTTCATATTTTCTCTCAGGGTACCTGCACATACATTATGACAACAGTTGCAAAGAAGGCGTCTGACCTCAGTGAATTCACTGTGACGACCAAGAATGACCACCGAGGTAACCGCCGAGTTTCATATGTGAGGACTGTTGGAGTCACCGTTTACGAGCAAACCATCACCATCGGCCGACACAGGTCACAAGTGGAGGTAACACTTTGTGATAATCAAAGTTCAAATACACAGACAAGCATGCTGAGAGTACAATAGACTATAGAAAGACTTGTAGCAAGCCATACCAATGTTGAATATTCCTGCCAACCTATCTGTATTTAGATAGACATTTTTGGTCCCTCTAATACATGAGTTATTCTCCAATTTTCTTGGGACATTTCTGAAAACGAAAATCAAACAGCTCAAACATAATGCTTTTGTAAAAAAAGAACATGATTAATATAATAATATTTTGTATTAATGTATCACTTTATTTATTGTTTTGCTATTGCAAGAACACTTTTAGTTCTCTGCGTGATTGCTACAATGTTTAATCGCAGTTTGGTTCAAAGTTCTCTCAGCTTTTCACATGACTGCATACAGCTTTCTCTCCTCTGATCTTGTGTTGCAATGCATTTCCAGTTTTCACTATTGTTCATAAGCAGTGTTACAACTTGTTCTAAGTGTTGTTGTGTTATTACCTTCAGGTCAATGGAGAGTTACAGTACTTGCCTGTCAGTTTGTTGGGGGGTAAGGTCTCTGTGAAGCAGAGTGGAGCCTATGCTACCCTCACCACTGACTTTGGCCTGAATGTCAGATATGACTGGAACATGAGACTGTACATCACAGTGCCCTCCTCCTACCACCAACACCTGGGGGGCCTCTGTGGAAACTACAATGGAGACATGACAGATGACCTGCCTGAAGCAAAGGGTGAGGGTCCCTGTAGGAGGAGAGCTGCTTGGGTGGAGCCAGTAGTCCCCTGTGGTCTGAATGTAACTTCCAACATCCAACAGGGTGGTGCAGTGAAGACGGACAGCATTTTTGACAGGGGACCCAGAAGTTAGCTTTGCAAGGGGTCCCTCGACAAAAAGCATTGTTTTTGAGTTTAGAATATTGCAGAAAGAAATATCTGTTTATGATACTTACACATTTCTTACAGCAGGATAATCTCCACATTTGAACACCACTTGACTTATTCAGACACTGGTTGACTAACGTTTTTTAAGAAACGTAAAAGCTTCAACACACCCCAGTGGGGTATTTATTGATCGATTTCATGTCGTAGAACTCAACATGAAAACCACTTCTGCAGACCTTATTTCAGGCTTCTAACCCAAGACACGTTCAAAAAATCATTAACTTTGAGACAAGGGAACCCAAAAGTGTTAAAAATGCTAACTCATATCCGGGTTTAGGACTCATTCCTGCACCACTCTTAAGCGATTGGAATTACACTTTCTTCACAAGACATTCCTGGCGGTAGATACATTGTTGTATAAGTATCAAGTCAACCATTCTGTGTTGGATATGCAGAAACACTCACTTACAGGAATGTTAAGAATTACATTCGTGTTGTTATTTTCTCTATTTTCTCATAGAAGAAAATAGAATACAATAAAATACCAACTTTTGTTTTGAGTCAGATAAGAAACTCTCTGAAACTGCATTCCTTTTGTCTGTGGCAGACTCCAGTGTCCCTACTGTGCTGAAAATGATCCGGAAGTGGAAGGCCGAGGATTCAGATCGGTTCTGTGATGATAACTGCGCTGGTCGCTGTCCTCAGTGTTCAGAAAAGCAGCAGGCCCACTTCCGTCTGCCCAGACTCTGTGGGGTCCTGACAGAGGCCAATGGACCTTTTTCAGCCTGCCACAAACAGGTGGACCCCTCTATGTACCTGGACAACTGTGTCTATGATGTCTGTGTCGATAAAGGTAAGCCGGTAATTGAGTATGTTCACAGTTTTGGGACAGAATACACAAAAACATTCACAGATCTATGAGTTATGCTGACATGAAAAGTGTAGATGTATGTATCGAAAACTTAGAAGTATATATTCAATGACTTACTCATTATTGATGCATTTATGGGTTTATCACAGCTGGTAATGGTGGCACTAATTTGAATGACTTTTTATACTGCTTTTAGTTAGTATAGTGGCTGCCCACTGCTCCTAAAGGCGGTGGTGGCGAAGTCCATAGGGACGTGGCTTGGCAACTGGAAGGTCACCAGTTCGAGTCCCGGCAAGACCAAGTGTTACCGAGGTGTCCCTGAGCAAGGCACCGTTCCCTACACTGCTCCCCGGGCGCCGGACATAATGGCAGCACACTGCTCCTAACACTAGGATGGGTCAAATGCAGAGGAACAATTTCGTTACATAGTACCTGTACTGTGAAAAGACAAAAAGAGCAATTTTTCTTTTTTCTTTTTATTTAATACTACCATGGGTTAAACGCAAAAGTGACTAATTCGTTCTTAAAATGTGTGTATGTGTGTGATGATTAAAAGAGGATTTCAATATCCTATCTATATGCATTAAACGCAAACAAATAGCCTATAAAGATACCTCTATTTGTTAAGCTTACATTCATACAGCACAACTTTAAAACTAAACACAAATAAAGACATTCTCACTGCTGCAAACAGCGAGCCAACATGTTTCTGAACAGTTAAAGCATAAAAACAGTAGACGTGCCATCATTGATCTAAGCACACTGTTCTGTCCACGTGTGTGTGTGCTGCAGCCTGTGTCCCTAGACTGTGAGTCACACACACTGCAGGACTCGCTCGTCTGTTTGTTGTGGTTCTTCTCTGTAAATAACAAAGGGTCTGTGTTTGTGTAGGTGCAAGACGGGTTCTCTGTGATAACCTGAAGAGTTATGGTGATGCCTGTCTGTCAGAAGGAGTGAAAGTCAACCCTGAGTGGAGAATGGTTACCAAATGCTGTAAGTCACTTTTGAACACTGTCATAACTTTAGGTGCCAAACTTATCATAAACCACGCAGTCCTATCATCTGAATCCTATACGGTAAAGTTGTTATTATAAACTTCTAATTCTTATTACTAAAACGGGAATATACTAACCTAAGAGTTCACTCGTGGAAATAATGAGAATTTGGGTGACTTTGCTTTCAGTGTTTCTGTCTTCAGTTCTGACTGGCTGGTAGGAACCCCAGACATTGTAGAAAAACACGTAAAAGCTTCAATGATTCACCAATAGGATACTAGGATAGAACAAGTATCTGAAGCTTGTATTAACCACAGATCTTATTTAAGGCATCTAACCAAAAGCACGTTCAGAAAACCATTGACTTCCAGACCAGGGAACCAGGAATCGCTCAAAAGCTAACTCATTTCCAGGTTTAAGGACTCATTCCTGAACAAATGTACAGTCACGTGTTGATCTGTTAGCTATGGAAATAAAACCTACAGGATGGAAACATAAATGTCTAATCCAATCATGAATGAACTATTCAAACCTTTTAAAAAACATTCATATTGTTTAATAATTGTATGATGTTGTTTTGTTTTTAGACTTAAGGGGAACAATGAGCTCAAATATGATAATGATGAATAATGATCTCCACTCCCCTCCCAGTCCTCTCCTGTCCAAAGGGCAGCCACTATGAGGCGTGCGGCCCCTCCTGCCCGGCCTCCTGCTCAGATCCACACAGTGAGAAGCAGTGTAAGGACCCCTGTGTGGAGGGCTGCCAGTGTGATAAAGGCCTGGTGATTAGTGGAGACAGGTAACTAAACACGTTCTTACAGGGGCACATTCTTTATGAATAAACAAACTTACTGCAAGATGATGTTACGCTATTCCATAACCACACCAAGGCAGGCCATTGGTAGAATAGTTTACTGTTTGGTGTCCCATGATCCCAGATTGATTCATAAAAACTCTCTGGGGGGAAACAGGCTCGTTGTGATCTTAACTTTACTCACAGTGAGGTGTAGTGCCTTGGAAAGCATCTGATCTGTAGTAAATGTGCTCGAACATGCATAACCACAGATATGGTTATTTCAAAGCAGTGGAAATGAATAGCATAGCAGGAATGTTTTATACATGTTTGGTTTAATCAAGTTCCAAGTTCTTTATCCTCCTATGCAATGACAGAGAAGCAGTCTTGGGAATACAAATCTTAGATCGCAGGCTTCAGCCAACAAAGCACAAAAAACCATGCACCTAAACATTTTAAATCTAAAAAACCTAAATATATCCCATTTGGTGTGTGTTTCAGATGTGTTCCTCAGAAAAGATGTGGATGCCAACATAAAGGCAGTTATTACCCAACAGGCAAAGCTTTCTGGGCTGATAACAAATGCACCACAAAGTGTGAATGCATCCAAGGGAAAGCCACGGTTGGTGATTGTGTGTGTGTGTGTGTGTGTGTGTGTGTGTGTGTGTGTGTGTGTGTGTGTGTGTGTGTGTGTGTGTGTGTGCGTGTGTGTGTGTGTGTGTGTGTGTGTGTGTGTGTGTGTGTGTGTGTGTGTGTGTGTGTGTGTGTGTGAGTCTGTGCAACATCATTGTGTTGCTAGTGTTCATCTCCTCCACTGTGTTCTAATATTGTACTCTGTTCTCTCCTGCTGATGAAGTGCAAATCAGTCACCTGTAAGAAGAATGAGCTCTGTGCTCTGAAGGAGGGAGTGAGGAACTGCTACCCAGCATCCTTTGCAACATGCAAAGGCACCGGAGACCCCCACTACCGAAGCTTTGACCAACGGCGCTTTGATTTCCAGGGCACTTGTACCTATGTCCTGTCTCAAATCATCAAGGGATCAGACAAGGATCTGGAGCGGTTCCAGGTGCTGGTCCAGAACGAGAACCGAGGGCGTAACAAGGCTGTGGCCTACACCAAGTCCGTGTCTCTGACTGTGTTTGATGACATCACTGTCAGCATGAGTCGTGGCAACGCAGGGAAAATACTGGTGAGATCAGTCCGCCTCCTGCAGGATATACGGGGGAAATAACAGTAACGCAAATCCTAACATATCTTATATCAGTAATATTCAGAGTTCAAAGGCTTCATTGTCTTATGCACAGCTAGTGTTACTATGGCAATGGAAATCCCAGGCTCCTCCAACAATGCAACATAAACACATGTAAGAGATAAAACAATAAAACAAAACAATACAAATTGTGCTAGAAGAAACAGAGTAGAAATATAATAGTGCAAGAGAATGTTGCACGAATAAAGTGCAAGTAATGCAGGAGAAGGTATATGTATATGTCAACTAGAATGAAATGAGCTAAAGATAGAATGTGAAATGAAATGCTGTACAGTGAAATAAAATACTTATAATTGTAATAATAGATAAATATGTGAGATGCAAACACGTATTTGCATCCCACAAAATGCAAATATGAGTTTGCATTTTGTGAAATTTGCTGAAAGATCACTGAATATTAAACGGATTCAATGATTACATCTAAATTTCCCCCTCCCCTTCTCCCCCCCCCCCCCCCTCTCCTTCCCCCCCCCCAGGTCAACAGCCAGCCTGTAAACCTGCCTTACTCCATGGAGGATGGCAAGCTTTCCCTGTACCGGCAAGGCTACTTTGGCGTGGTGACAACATCTTTTGGTTTGACGCTCAGGTTCAACTGGAACAGCTACGTCAGCTTGACTTTGCCCAGCTCATACTCTTCTGCTACAGGCGGTGAGTTACGGTGCATCGCTGCTGGGGGTGGTTTACCCCCAGTATGAAGCAAACAGTGGCATCATGTATTCAGATGTCAGGTCAGGGGCTAAGATCATTCAGATTGTTGCTCGCCCCCCACTGAAAAGCTTTATTAAGATAATGAGCAGATCCAGTTTGTTGGGGGGTAAGGTCTCTGTGAAGCAGAGTGGAGCCTATGCTACCCTCACCACTGACTTTGGCCTGAATGTCAGATATGACTGGAACATGATCCTAGCGTCCCTAAACTCTGCTCTACCTTTGTAGCTTTTTCTTTTAAAGCCATCAGGCTACCCGTCAATCTGAAAACCTGCACGGATACCATTGTTTTTACAGTGCAATAGAGCAAGAGTGGGCTTATATACCATTCAAGCTACAGAGTTTTCATTCTTCTTCAAAGTTGCAACATAAGGTTTTTTTTAAGGTGTAATGTGTATCTTGTTTTGTTTCAGGCTTGTGTGGAAATTACAATGGCAAACCTGGTGATGACTTACTGAAACCGGATGGCACCCTGGCTAACCACATTAACGTCTTTGGACACAGCTGGAAGGTGTGTATCAGCTGAGATCTGGGGTGGCTGAGCATCCTACACAAACCTGAACTGACCAAAAAAAACACACACATTAAAAACTCCATTAAGTCATATACTGCAAAACTGAACAGTATATGAAACACAAAGCCAGCACATACTCCTACAGTAGAAAGAATAACGTGTTGCTACATGGTGGACATGTCAGAAGGAGAATGACGTCACACCTTCAATATTGTTCTCTGAAAAAGCTTAAAAAAAAAAAAATGTAAATGTATACTGTACACATCTTAAGGTCCTTACACACCGAGCCGATTCGGCGTCGATAGATGTCGGGCCATCGATGAGCGTTGTGTCGCCCTACTCAGATTGGTGTGTACTGCACCGTCGTGTCTTTTCGGCTGTGCCGACACCTTCCTGTCGGCCAAATAAATCACTCTGATTGGCTGTTCAGCTTAGCGAATCAGTGCATGAGAAGCGAAACGGAAGTGAGGGACCCAAACAAACGATTAAGAAGACAAATCTGAGATTTCATTTACCTCCAGCTCTCAACACAGGTTCTGGAAAGCCCCATGAGCTTCTCGCTGTAGAGTGAAAATGGAACACGCACTTTATTGTTGTTTGTTTATATCACGCAGTCTGTTCTTCTTCTCTCGGTTATCACGCAGTCTGTCTTCCGCTTGTTGCCTCTTTTGAATGACGAATACACACTACCGCCGCCTGCTGGTAAGGAGAGTTATTGCCACTCACGCATGCGCAGTTCGTATGTGCAACTTGGCCGTCGGCTGAAGTCTTTGCGGTGTGTTCCAGTGCGACACATGGCCAAGACGCAGAGACGTGATGCGACGTGAGGCCGTGAGGAGACGTGAGGCGACGTGAGGCCGTGAGGAGACGTGAGGAGACGTGAGGAGACGTGAGGCGACGTGAGGAGACGTGAGGAGACGTGAGGCGACGTGAGGCGACGTTCCGTCGAGACGTGTTCTTTGGTGTTCTTTGGTGTCAGTTTGGGGTGTAAGAGGCTTTAAAATGAAGAGCATGCTGTGTATGCCAAGTCAAAAACAATCGGAGATGCAGGACCATTTGCTGCAACGACTTGATCAAATAATGTCAAAAAAAAAAAAACATCAGTTAAGAGAAAGCTGAAGATAAAGTGAGTTTTAAGAAGAGGTGTTAAAGAGGATACTGAGTTTTCCTGCCTGAGATCTAAAGCTTTAATGAACAACAGTAAATGTGATCAGTAATCTTACCACCTGTTACTAACAGCCTACCAAACAATAGAAAGAGAAACACAATTACATTTGGACCTGTTTTAGTTAATAACAAGCCAACACTTCTCAAAAATCTCTCGTCTTATGTCAACATCTTTGTCGTGACTTTTTCGTTACTCTTTAACACTTAAAAACCTCTGCATATGTCCACTGTTGCTGTGATGTCATTGCCTGCAGGCGGGGGGGGATGCTGGCTGCACCAGTGACTGTCCTAATGGGAAATGTCCGGAGTGTGAGCCTGCGCTGATCCTACGCTACCAGGACAAGAAATACTGCGGCATCATCGCTGACAAGCAGGGACCGTTTGGGTAATTGTACTATCCATGATTCCCTGGAAAGATGCAGTGACAGAGTGATGATACTGTGTAGACGCCATGTTGACATTCACACTGGCACATTGTTAAACTGAAGCTGCTTATGCTAATGTGTTTCTCATCTGTCAGTCCCAAGCACAGAACGGGTTCTTTTCAGACTTTTCATCTCAATGTCACTGAAGACATGTTTCCTTTTTCCTTTTGCTGTTAGAATTATTTATACAGTTAGTCCTTTATGTCTGATACAAACTACCAGAGGAATGATTCAAGTTAAGAAGGATCTAATGTGTCCCCCTTCCTGACGAAGAACAGTTTTTATTTGGCTGCAGATAAAAAAAGAGAATAATATTATTCCATGGCCAGGCCTACAGTATTCAATATCTAGCATGTGTCTGCTTTATAAAGTGACCTCCTCCTGGGTAAAGCAAGAAACCATAAATACTTATGCTTAGTATTTTAAAAACCAACAACTAAATGCTATTGGATATTTAAAAGCCCAGTCCTCAAACTGGGTATTGCTCTGTTTATGAAAGTGTTTCTGTCTCTGCCCCTGCAGAAAGTGTCACAGTAAACTGGACCACACCTCCTTCCTCAAAGAGTGTGTTTTCGATCTGTGCATGTACCAAGGCCACGCCTCTGCACTGTGCAACAGCCTATCAGCTTTCAGCACCACTTGTCAAGAGGCGGGAGCAACAGTGGGGAGCTGGAGAACCCAACAGTTTTGTCGTAAGACACACACACACACACACACACACACACACACACACACACACACACACACACACACACACACACACACACATGCATACTGACTGACTATACATCCATCCATTATGTTTTGTTTAGAATCTAGAGTTCACTACCCTTAACCCCACAATCATTACAGCATGTTTAAGGTGGTGCATGCAGTCACTGGGCCCTTATGTTGTTAATAAATAAATAAATAAAAAATGTCACTTTTTATGTACAGGGAAACTTAACTCTTGTTTCTAACCTGTCCCGATAATGTCCTCTAATGTTCAGATCATAAAAGACACAAGCATTTCTCAGGAACATTGTCTTTCCTTGTGTGTCTCTGCAGCTCCGTCATGTGGTGCCAACAGTCACTATGAGCAGTGTGGCCCCCCCTGCCCGCTCACCTGCAGTGGCCTCGCCCCCCCAGAGGGCTGCGACAGGAGCGCCCCCTGCTCAGAAGGCTGTGTGTGTGACAATGGATTCATGCTGAGTGATGACAAGTGTGTCCCTCTGTCAGAGTGTGGCTGCCAGTACGAGGGACAGTACTATCTGAGTGGACAGGTACACATTGTCCCCTCTCAATGCTGCGTCCTCTGCCTTCACCTCTACTGATGTGTCTGCTCTCTCCTCAGGTGTTCTATCTAGGAAAGGCATGCAACACTCGTTGTGTGTGTACAGACGATGGAGAAGTGCAGTGTGATCCTAAATCTGGCTGTTCAGCCAATGAGAAGTGTGTTGTGAAAGGAGGCTCCTCCTCCTGTGCTCCCAAAGGGGTGGGCTCCTGCTCTGTGAGTGGAGGCAGGGTGGTCAGGTCCTTCGATGGACAGGTAAGTTCTTTTTAAGTCAAAAAGTAAGCATATTATCTAGAGCAGTGGTTCCCAACCTGGGGGCACCAAAGATCGCAGTGGGGGCGCCAGGCCTCAGATGATTTGAGGCCAAATATCATATTTAGACTTTTTAGACTTTTTATTTTTATTTTTTACATATAATTGTAACGCAATACATGATTGTCACTAAAAGCCTTGTCTCTACATTACAATAACATATACAAAATAAAAATTCAAGTTAGTAGCTATTATAGGCATAAAAACACAGAAATGTATAATTCTTTCTTTAATAGAAATGTTTCTTCTGCCCGTAAAGTGTCCAAACCAGGCTTTTCTGGATAAGCGCATTTTTAAAACATAGTCATTGTCCATGCCGGTTTCAGTTGGATTATTTGTCACAGTTGCTCCGATCAGATCGGTCTCCTCCATTTTGTAGATTATTTACGACTTTTGAATCCACATAAACACATCGGCAAAATCCGGCTTACTTTGAGCATGTGTTTTAAACAGTTTAATCCCTTTGTGAATTGTTTCCACTTGCGCCGTCCTTTCATTTCTTCATACAGCAAGGCAAGGCAAGGCAATTTTATTTATATAGCACTTTTCAGCACGTGGCGATACAGCGGGAATCCAAATGAATGAATCCTGAGTCCAATAACCATCAAAGTCACTCCAATAGTGCTCCTTGATTACGCTTTCATGCTCCTTTAACAAAATACTTCACAGTCATCCAGTTTGTGACAGTAGTTGTAGCATTTTTGAGACTTTTAAACTATAATTACCGCTGTACCCACACACACACAAGGGGGGGGGGCGCAACTTCCAACAGGAGTCATTTGGGGGGGCTCTTGGGAAAAAAGGTTGGGAACCCCTGATCTAGAGTAATGTATCTGAGTGTATTATATTATTGAGCTTACCACCAAGTAATACAGGCACATATCGATAGTACATTATTTGAATATCTATTTATGTAATGACATCAAGGTATTTCTACTTTCTTTCAAACTTTTTTTATCTATTTGTGACATGTTTCAAATCTTCTCCATAAGAAGCATCCACATCTAAAAGTGATGAGTCATGTTTTTCTGGATGTTTTATAAGGATAGCTTACCACTTCATATTAAAATACATTCAGGACATTTGGTTAAAAAATGGAAATGACAGATCGACCATGTGATAAAGCACCTCCTCCTCCTCTGACCCTGTAGGCATATCCTCTGTGGGGAGACTGTTTGTTCTTGTTGGCACAAGTGGGAGAGAACGAGGGAGGGCTGGAAGCCTTCACTGTGTTAGTACATCAGCAAACACATGAGGATGGTTCTGTCTCTCGCAGTCTGGAGCTCCAGGTTTACGACATGGAAATCACTCTGAAGTCAGGGGTCATCTGGGAGATCAAGGTATGATTGACAGGTTAGGTATGAAGTGTGTTCCCACAGCCATTGTTTTCACAAACAGAAGTTAAAGTGAGCATCAGAACACTATCGAACAATCTGGTACTAACTTTGTCAATTCACACTCTGTCAGCTTAGTCATCATGATGTCCAGGTCCTTATGGACAACAGATAGCTCTTATTTATTGTCCATTTGGTTGAAGAGTATTTCTTTCTAAGGATTGGGGTGTGCGTTATTCCTGTGAACATGTTACGTTGAATCCTCTGGGGACAGTCTCAGTCTTCAGTGCTTGACACACCATCTGCAGTGCCTCAGGAGTGGGGGGTGTAAACTGGGATGAACCCATGGTACCAGCTCACGTAATGTAATACTTTGTCCCCTTCTGTGTCTCAGGTTGATGACATCAGAGTCTTCCTCCCTGTGGCCCTGGCTGACGGGAAAGTGCGAGCACATCAAAATGGCATCAACATCATCATTGAGAGTGACTTTGGTCTGAGGCTGACCTACGACACGTTGGCAGGGGTGATCCTACAGCTCCCCTCCACCTATCACAGCGCTCCAAAGGGTCTCTGTGGGAACTACAACGGGAAGCTGTCTGATGACCCGTCCTCAGCAGGGGAGACGTCAGCAGACACGGAGGAATCTCTGGTCATAGAGAAGGACGAGGAGCCATGTAAGCCCGGCTGTGGGGCCACTTCCTGTCCTAAGCCCGATGAGAATAAGGTCCCAGATGCCAAAAAGGCCTGTGACATCATCAAATCTAAGAAGGGCCCCTTTTCAGGATGCCACTCAACAGTGGCCCCGACTCCAGACTACGAGGCTTGTGTCAGGCAAGGATACCTTTATGTCAAAGTCATGTATTTTATACAAACAGTGACTGTGATCCAGGCAGCAGCTCACTGTTCCTCTAATCAGGCTACCTGCTCCACACTGTGACTTGTGTGTGTGTGTGTGTGTGTGTGTGTGTGTGTGTGTGTGTGTGTGTGTGTGTGTGTGTGTGTGTGTGTGTGTGTGTGTGTGTGTGTGTGTGTGTGTGTGTGTGTGTGTGTGTGTGTGTGTGTGTGTGTGTCACTTGGTAAAAGTGTGGTTTATTTAATTTACTTTATCCTATAATAATATATGATAATATATATCGATGATCTTTATTTTGTATTAATAATCAAAATCTGCAAAGTAACTAAATATGTTAAATAAATGTAGCAGTAAAAAGTACAATATTTTCCAACAAAATGTAAAGCGTGAGAGTACAAAGTAGCATAATGTGAAAACACATGTAAAGTGCAAGTACCTACATTTAGTTCGTTTTGGGTACTTGAGGTAATGTACCTAGTTACTTTCCATCACTGGTATACGGTTCTCTGTGTTTAGGGAGTATGAACCACATTATTTCAGATGCAGTCACTTGACCTGCCATCAGTGTAGATCTTCTGATCATATGACCCAACCATTCATTACATTATGCCAACCTATCATTTTGTACTTCCATCACTTTCAACTATGCTTTAAAGAATGAGTTCATTTATTACTAAAGATAGAACAATTGTTCATAAAGCTGCATGCTACCTTAGAACACAGCGATGATGACAGATTATTAACAACATTTCAGATGCACTCCCTTTCCCAAAGTACTTTATATGTTCTGATCATAAGATCACCCTCTGACCAGTCAGTGTTGTAACATTGTCTCCATGTTCCCAGATCTCCGCCACTCATTTAGCATATTTGTATGAAAGCATTGAGAGACTAAACAAATATAATAAAGCAGAATTTTCCTACACCAAACTAAAGTTTCTCTGTGAAGGCCCTTCCAGTTGTTCCCTGTAATGACAGAGGTTTTGTATTTCAGGGAGATGTCGACCGACGGAGCGGGCCAGGCCGTCCTGTGTCGTCACATCCAGAGCTACGTGACGGCCTGTCAGCTGGCCGGAGCAGAGATCAGGACCTGGAGGAGTGACAGCTTCTGTCGTGAGTCTCTGAATGCGGCTGATTCTACTCTCTCATGCCTTTTAGTACGATGGTCCTGGGATAAGAAGTACATTAGACAATAAAAACAAAAATATGACAGTATAGGACATAATTAAACATGCCATCGAAAACAGTCAACTTGTGAATGATTGAAAAACAGAAATCAGAAAAACTGCCTTAATATTTTTAGATTTGACTCAAATGGATACTGTTTGCTGTTGCAGCTGTGAGCTGTGCGGCAGGAAGTCACTACGAGCTGTGCTCCTCCTCCTGCTCCTCCACCTGCTCCTCTCTGCAGAGCTCCGCCCCCTGCCCCCCCTGCCAGGAGGGCTGCCAGTGTGCCGACAGCCTGATGTCTGACGGCGCCCGCTGTGTCCCCGTGGAGAAGTGTGGCTGCGTGGTGGACGGACAATATTACAGGGTGACTACCATCATCCACATCATAATGTTTATTCAGTACAGGATGAGAGCTAAGCACTATCTAATATGTTGTTAGTCCAATTCAACTTTGATCATGAATGAATGTGAGGCGCGTTCAAGACTACGTTCATATCAGAAAGGGGCCTTACTGTCATATGCAAATTACACACCTTTTACATTTAATACTGCTATTCACTACCTAAGACTTGAACAGCACTGTTGTGAAATAACACTGTGCAATACACACTCTTTTACAATGTATTAACTGGCTGCTACTGCTAAACTTTTCTATGTTTTCTTACCCTGATAAGGCTGCTACATATTCTTTGTTTGTTTGGTCCTGTTTTGTATTTAATAACATGTGCTCGCTTCTTTATTTAATATGTCTGTCTACTTATTTTGTTTTTCCTTTATCGTCACTGTTCCCTTTGCTATAACACTGTACTTTTCCCCGCTGTGGGAGAAATAAACTATTTCTGATTCTGAAGGTAGCTGAGTTTCTTCCCGTTACATGGATATGAAACATTCATAGTTTATTCAATCTTAAGAAGCCCTCAGACACTGTTGCTTGCAGATGTCCGTGGGGCTTAACAGGTTAATGGAATAAAAAACACATCGAAGCGAAAAAAGGAAATCTCAGTAGGCTAGGCATAAGATGGTTTGTGTTGATTTAAGTGTGTTCTCATATATTTTCAGTCAGGGACATCAGTGTGGCTGGAGGGCTGCTCCGAGCGCTGCGCCTGTGAAGGGGGGCAGTACAGCTGCAAGTCCACCAGCTGCCAGCAGGGGCAGGAGTGTCGCAACAAGGACGGAGCGCTGGGCTGCTTCTCTACAGGTGGGACTGATCTCTGACTGTTAGCCATGTTCTGTAGTGTTCAGAAAGCAAGGCATGCACAGTACTGGAGTATTCTGTGGACTTTAACAGCAGAACATCTTATCAGCATCAGTGCACTCCAGGGTGTGTCAGTTATTTGTGACATCACAGGTGGGTGTGGCTACAGGTGCAACACACCTGAAGGGAGGAGCGTCAAACTCCTTTCAGCATGCTGTTCAGTCATTCTAGGACAGCCACATACTTTCATTTGCAACTTAAACTGACTCAAACAATTACCAACCCCCGAATACGTTGACAGAGCAACAAATAACTGTATGATTAATAAAAAAAAGATGTTCTTATATTTAAAGCCAATTTGAAAAGGTGGGTCTGCGTTGGCCCTCTAAAGAAAGATCACTGCCCCCTCAGGGCTTCTGGAAGGTGGGTCCCTCTAAAGAAAGATCACTGCCCCCTCAGGGCTTCTGGAAGGTGGGTCCCTCTAAAGAAAGATCACTGCCCCCTCAGGGCTTCTGGAAGGTGGGTCTCTCTAAAGAAAGATCACTGCCCCCTCAGGGCTTCTGGAAGGTGGGACCCTCTCAAGAAAGATCACTGCCCCCTCAGTGCTTCTGGAAGGTGGGACCCTCTAAAGAAAGATCACTACCCCCTCAGTGCTTCTGGAAGGTGGGACCCTCTAAAGAAAGATCACTGCCCCCTCAGGGCTTCTGGAAGGTGGGTCCACAATCCTCTTTGTTTTATCTTTACATTAGAAGTCTAGTACCAGAGGACCTGAGGGTCCTAAGGGTTCATATGTTAAAAGCAAATCTGATTCAGAGCTAGCACCAACACCAGTTAGAGCTTTAAAAAACAATTAAAATATCTGCTTAGATCATTTATATTGTTGAAATATGTTCAATGCCAGCGTGAGTGTGATCCTCAATGAATTCAATAAGAAAAAAGCTGCCTGCTGTCATGAAGCAGCGAGTATAGATGAATCATTCAAATTGAGTATAACAACGCAAACTCCTGACAGATATTGAGGGCACTGTACTCACTTAACATTTCAAATGTAGCTGTGTGAAGAATGTGGAAGTGAGCCGTCCATAGCAGCTCAGTGTTCCTCCCTGGCAGCCAGGAGGCCCGGGTCTGTTCCAGAGTCACAGAAATGTCTTGACCTCTTTGGAACTCTCTGAAAAGCAATACAGCATTACACAGGAACAATAGCTCAATGATAAAGACAAGTAAATACAGAGGCAAGTAAACTGTGTCATTCCCTATAATATTGATAACAAATGTACAACTTCAAAATGCCAAGACTTTAACAGTGTTTTCTATTTTGCTGTCCCATGTTTGTTTGATTTGATCACTTACTTTTACTTTGAGTTTCTCTTAACCTGAATAACCATGTGTGTGTGTGTGTGTGTGTGTGTGTGTGTGTGTGTGTGTGTGTGTGTGTGTGTGTGTGTGTGTGTGTGTGTGTGTGTGTGTGTGTGTGTTGCAGACCCTTGTGCTGAGGTGAAGTGCAGAGTAAAGGAGCACTGTGTGGTGTCAGAAGGCCAGGGAGCGTGTGTTCCTGATTCTACAGCCTTGTGTTGGGCTGCCGGCGACCCGCACTACAGCACGTTTGACAAACACCGGTACTCTTTCCAGGGAACCTGCACCTACGTCCTGGTCAACACCACAGGTCTGTCTGCTCAACACTCACATTGTCAACTCTTTCCATTAAAATGACTACCAAAGAAATAGAGTGGTGCAGGAATGAGTCCTAAATCCTTGAATTGAGTTAGCATTTGATCACTTCCGGTTCACTGGCCTTTAAGTCAATGGTCACACTGCTAACATTAACATAAATACCTTCCCCAGGTCTCGACCCCTCCCTGCCATCGTTCACTGTGATCAGCAAGAATGAGCTGCGAGGAAACTCTGAAGGCTCCTTCGTGCGCTCAGCCACTGTGGAGATGCTGGGCCATCGGATCTCCATCGCCTCCTCTGAGAGAGGGGTCATACTGGTGGGTCTTTGCTCAGCGTAAATAATGCCAGCACTGCAACTTTTCACACACTATTCCTAGTTACACTGATAATTAGATTCAATTCTAATTACCGACACAAAGGAAATCTGATACAGATGAAGTGTTTGGTCATGTACGTTTTCACTGCTGTTGGCAATGTTAACATTTGACTGTCATTGCTGAGTCAAACGGACACAGTGATATTACAAGGTTAAGTAGAACAAGTAGAACATCTAAATATGTGTACTGTATAGAAATGTTATCATGTATGGAGATACACACACACACACACACACACACACACACACACACACACACACACACACACACACACACACACATACACACACACACACACACACACACACACACACACACACACACACACACACACACACACACACACACACACACACACACACACACACACACAGCAGTGGCTCAGTCAGTAGGGGCTTGGACTGTGAGCCGTAGGGTCGCCGGTTCAAGTCCCCGACCAGTTCACCTCCTGGGCCCTGCCGTGGTGCCCTTGAGCAAGGCACCGGACATCCCCCCTCACTCCCATTGCTCCCCGGGCGCTGTGCAATAGCTGCCCACTGCTCCTGGTACTAGGATGGGTTAAATGCAGAGAACACATGTCACTGTGTGCTCTGTGCTCTGCATGTGTGAGCATTACAGAGGGGTTCATCCCTCCCATTCTATTCTATTCACAAGTCTTCACACCATTGGAGAGGTTCCATTTCCCCTGACCTGAATGTGATTGTTAATTGATATGAGAAAATGTAATCTTCTTCTTCCCAATTAAATATATAATGTCTAATATGGGAAATTATATTTCTGTGCCATATAATGCTACTGGTTTAATTACTGTCTTGCATACTATTTCTGAATGAGGATTTTGTTTTGTACTGTTTTTATGGTGGCATATAAGATCTCTTCTAAATCTTACCGCCTTTACTTTTTGTTATTTCACAGTTCCAAAACCTCCTGTTGATAATAATGTGTTTAATGGAAGAGAACTAATATGGTTATATTGACAATATTTGTTAAGTGCCATCATTGTACAACAAAGATTTCAGACCCCCCCACCCCCTCTTCCTCTCCCTCCCTCTCTCTCAGGTGGACGGTATCAGGACGGAGCTTCCTGTCCGTCTGGAGGGAGGCAGCATCTCCATAACAGCGTCTGGAATCAGAGGCACGCTCCAAAGTGATTTTGGCGTGGAGGTCACGTTTGATTGGGCCACACTCCTCATGGTGTCCATCAGCAGCAGTTACTTTGGTAATGTGGCCGGGCTCTGTGGAAACTACAACGGCGACCCGGAGGACGAGCTGACGCAGGCGGGGGGGGGGGGCGGCTGCCAATTTGACGGACTGGGCCTCCACCTGGAGCCTGGAGGACTACGACCCCTTCTGCTACCACTTCTGTGAGGACGTGTGTCCGCAGTGCTCAGACAAGGACCGCGTCAAGTCAGTACCTCCTTCAATGAGCACTCTTAGATATTCAGTGTCACTCATTATAAACGTGAATATCACTACATAACTAGAGAATGCAATTCCTGAAGACATTGCTGTGTGACCGCTGTGTGTAAGTTATGTAAGGGGGCGTGGCTAAAGTATGGGGGCTGGGGGAAATAATGACTAAACACATCATCTCTGTGCTGAGGGCGAAGATGCCTTCGCAAAACGCTTTATGAGCTACTGTATAATATTTCTGGAATTATGAAAGTTATGAATGTCCGGAGTAATAGCGCCCATATGGGACAAGAAAGCAATCAAAAAAAGGTGCGGAATAATAATAAATAATTAATTTTGTTCTGACTTAGCATTCACACCAAATAAACGAAGATAAGTTTAAACGTTTTTAGGAGTTTATGACAAGAACAAAAAAACGACTATACTAGTTAACATGTTCTAATGAGCACTAAACAGGAAGTGCAGCTCTGGATTATGAGATGTTTTGAAGTGACATTTTGAGCTGCTAAACATTCCCCCAAGATAAGGAAAGTCATTAGCTTTCATCCTGCGGAGACACAGGACATTATGTTACAACACAATAATACTTTCTTTTCAGATCAAGTCTAAAATGTTCCTGCACAACAGATCCATTTTCATCACATATTTAAGACAAGAAAGAAAATACACCCCCCCTAAACATTTCAATCACTAAAGACAAATGATATTGTCTTCATGGCATGGTATGAGCGGGATGTGATATTTCATTGTGGACCAACTTACACTGGAAAAACTGAAACATTGACTTCAATTAAATGTATATATACATATACATATATATGTCAACACCTTTCACATACCTGTATTAGTTAGTTGAAAACAATATATTAAGTTTAACCTAATATTTGTTATTTATTCCAAAGTCAACGGTTGAGTATTTTCAGTGTTACCTCCTCAGATCTATCACGGTTTGGAGCAACTCAAATGATGACCTAAATGTGTTTTATTAAAATGATATAATCATATGAGGAGATGCCAATAATCCTCAGCATTTCCCTGATCTCCTCCTCAGGTACACGGGCCCAGACTACTGCGGGATAATAAGCGACAAGAAGGGCCCCTTCGCTGGTTGTCATGGCAGCCTGCCGGTAGCAGAGAATGTGGCAGATTGTCTGTACGATGTGTGCACCAATGAAGGGCGACAGGAAGTGCTGTGTGAGGCCCTGAGCACCTACCTGGCCGAGTGCCAGGAAGCTGGAGCATCTGTGTTGCCATGGAGACAACTGGCCAAATGTTGTGAGTAACATACTGTCAGTGGTGTAATGTAACTAAGTACATGTAATCAAGTAATGTACTTAAGTAGAACATTGAGGTACTTGTGCTTTACTTGAGTATTTTCCCATTATTTTACTCCATTACATTTATTTTATATATTTAGTTACTTTGCAGACTTAGGTTAATTTAATGTAATTTAATGCAAATCGACACATTATATTATCATATATTATTATTGGTTAAGATCAACAGTAGTGTTTACAGTAATTCAAACGGACCCCACCTTTACCAAGTACAACACTGAAGTGATTAACACATTAATACACCAATCATTTTAATACAATATTTAAATATAGAATGTGTTTAAATGTGCCTTTCTGAGTACTTGTGGTACTTAAATTACATTCTGATGCTAATACTTTTGCTTTTACTTAAAAATACAACTATTTTGAATGCATGGCTTTTACTTGTAGCTGAGTATTTTTACACTGTAGTATTGCTACTTTGACTAAAGTACATAATCAGAGTACTTCTTCCACCACTGCATACTGTACATGAATTGAAACACTACAGGCAGACAGGAAGCCCCTCGCTGATGTGGACCTGCCACAGTGTGCAATATGTTCAGATAATCTCACATCCATTCCGACTGATGGACGCTTTGCAGTCGTGTTTAGTCTGATCATGTGTATTCAAAGGTTGACAGTACTCACAACAACTTCCCATTATAAGATGCACTGGGTAAAGCCTTCTGTTAGAGGTCCTATTGTATACCTGCAGGCCTGTGGTCAGATCACATGGGCACCAGTGCTCCCCCTCTCAATTCAATTCAAATAGCTTTATTAGCATGACCATAATGACATACAGTATTGCCAAAGCTTTGTACAATTGCGACATCTATACATAAACATTTGAAATGTACAGTTAAGATCATAAACATTTGAAATGTACAGTTAAGATCAGAAACATTTGAAATGTACAGTTAAGATCAGAAACATTTGAAATGTACAGTTAAGATCAGAAACATTTGAAATGTACAGTTAAGATCAGAAACATTTGAAATGTACAGTTAAGATCAGAAACATTTGCAAGACCGACTTGTTTTCTTTACAAGGAACACAAGGAGTGCATGGACACATTCATTTAGAAAATGAGAAAATAGTAACAATGCTGATAGTCGCTATAATACATGAGAATAATAATAAAGAGGTGAGAGTGGAGACCTGGTCAGTTATAATTGAGGATGCTTACTTTGTGTGAGCTGGTGCTGCTCTGTTTCCACACTGTGGGCATAATGGCTCCTCTTTTAGCAGCCATGTGTTCTTATGTCTGCCTGTGTCTATGGCCTGTCTGTGTCTATGGCCTGTCTGTGTCTATGGCCTGTCTGTGTCTATGGCCTGTCTGTGTCTATGACCTGTCTGTGTCTATGACCTGTCTGTGTCTATGACCTGTCTGTGTCTATGACCTGTCTGTGTCTATGACCTGTCTGTGTCTATGACCTGTCTGTGTCTATGACCTGTCTGTGTCTATGGCCTGTCTGTGTCTATGGCCTGTCTGTGTCTATGACCTGTCTGTGTCTGTGGCCTGCCTGTGTCTATGGCCTGCCTGTGTCTATGGCCTGCCTGTGGCTATGGCCTGTCTGTGTCTATGGCCTGTCTATGACCTGTCTGTGTCTGTGGCCTGCCTGTGTCTATGGCCTGCCTGTGTCTATGGCCTGTCTGTGTCTATGGCCTGTCTATGACCTGTCTGTGTCTGTGGCCTGCCTGTGTCTATGGCCTGTCTGTGTCTATGGCCTGTCTATGACCTGTCTGTGTCTGTGGCCTGCCTGTGTCTATGGCCTGTCTGTGTCTATGGCCTGTCTGTGTCTATGGCCTGTCTGTCTGTGTCTATGGCCTGTCTGTGTCTATGGCCTGTCTGTGTCCTCATCTCTGTCTCCCCCCCCCCAGCTGTGGAGTGTCCGGCCCACAGTCACTACAATGTGTGTGGCTCAGCGTGCCCTCCCAGCTGTGGCCCCCAGCCCGAGGTCTGCCCTAAGGCCTGTGTGGAGGGCTGCGTCTGTGACCCTGGATATGTGCACAGTGGGAAAGGGTGAGTGCAACATCTTCACACATTACATTCAAGTTATAGTATTTATAATAACAATGCTTTCCTTATAGAAATCCTCCTTGCACTCATTATTATATATAATCCATGCATCCATGACGGTTTCCCGTTGAAAGTTATTGGTAGAGTTGAATGGATAACCACAAGGTATTAATATAGAGCTATATCTGTTTCCAGAAATAAGCAGGAGAATCCAGGAGAGGCAGTTTAATCTGAGATGACGATGACGATGATGATGATGATGTTTGTGTTGTCAGAGGTGATGTGTCAGTGGCACTGGGAGATGTATAATGTCCTCTCTCTCTTCTTCTCTCTCAGGTGTGTGATCAAGGAGAAGGGCTGTGGTTGTAACCACGACGACCGCTATTACCTGCCAGGTGAGACTTTCTGGGCCGACTCGCTGTGTAAGCAGAGGTGTGTGTGTGACGCAGGCACGCAGAAGGTGAAGTGTAAGCAGGCGGGCTGTCGGAAGGGAGAGAAATGCAGCGTTGTAGACGGGGTCCAAGGCTGCGTCCCCGTGGGCTTCAAGACCTGCAGCGCACACGGAGACCCCCACTACACCTCCTTCGATGGACGCAGGTTCGACTTCCAGGGCAACTGTGTGTACAAGCTGGCCAGTGTGTGTGGAGATCAGTCAGGCCTGGAGCCCTTCGAGGTGAGCAGCTAGGAGTTTCATTAGTATTATTGGTAATAATGATAATACTATTCATATTACCAATATTATTATTATTATTGTTATTATTATTATCATCATCATCATCATTATTACTATAATAATAATAATAATAATAATAATAATACAAGTAATTATTATTATTATAATTATTAATATTATCAGTACTATTGTTGCTATTAGTAGTATTAGTGGTAGGATCATTATTATTATTAATACTATTATTCTTATTGTTATTATTGTTATTTAGTTGTATTGTTTGGGAGAATAACTTGTATCACTGACACATGCTTTTATTTTGAAAGTGAAACCACTTTGTCTTCTCCCAAAGGAGCAAACCCCTCCAGGGAATGGGATAGATATTTGAAGAATTATTTTCAGATAATGAAATGTTTTTTTACATGCAATTTTCATTTCTGCTTTTTTAGTTAAATATCTAAATGCATATTATTGTTCTCCTCTCTGTCTCCTCTCTGTCTCCTCTTGTCTCTCCTCTTGTCTCCTCTCCTCTCTGTCTCCTCTCTGTCTCCTCTTGTCTCTCCTCTTGTCTGTCTCTCCTCTTGTCTGTCTCTCCTCTTGTCTGTCTCTCCTCTTGTCTCTCCTCTTGTCTCTCCTCTTGTCTCTCCTCTTGTCTCTCCTCTTGTCTCCTCTCCTCTCGGTGCTGCAGATAAAGCTGGAGAATAATAACCGTGGCAACAAAAGAGTGTCGTATGCTAAAGTGGTGACTGTTAAAGTCCATGGCAACACATACATACTGTCAGTGGACCTACCAGGCAGAGTACTGGTGAGGAACACACACACACACACACACACACACACACACACACACACACACACACACACACACACACACACACACACACACACACACACACACACACACACACACACACACACACACACACACACACACACACACACACACACACACTCTTAACGCACCAGGTATATCAATCCTAGTACATCATTAATTCAGTAGCTGATATAAATGTGTTATTGATAATATGAGCCTGCAAAGTAACTCATCTTGTTAGATAAATATCGGAGTAAAAAGAACAATATTTACTTCCAACATGTAGTGGAGTAGAAGTATAAAGTATTATAAACTGGAAAAACTCAAGTTACCTCAACATTGTACTGAAGTACAGCACTTAGTTACTTTACACCACTGCAGACTCTTCTCAGTCACATGACCCTCGGATGAAAGCTGCTGTTTCAGCTCTCACTTTATCAGTGCCCCGAGCTAACTTCAGGGAAAACTATGGGTTCTACGACGCTGGTTCATTTCTTACCGGGGTAGATCTCCATGGTAACTTATGCTGAACACCTAACCTGCTCCGGAGCAGATAAGTTCCAGATAAGAGATCAACTCATGCCCTAGCCACACGGAGACGAAACGGATCGTATCCGCTACAGTCCTCTATCATATAGACGGTTCGGCCACACGAGGCTGACAGGGAAACGCAGATATCGATAACGATAACGATAACGGGTCCCAAGGTGGGTAGATCTGAGGACGCAACGCTCTGGGGGCCAAACGGCTCCGTGTCTACGCCCTATACGATCATTTCCTGATAACGAAAATACTGACGGGCTGTCAGGAGAGGGGGAGGGAAAGAGAGACTCCGTATATTATTCTTATATTATTATAGAGTCGTTATTTATTTGTTTTAAAGCTCAATAAATAACAAAGAAGACCTTTGACCGGCACTTTTATAATTTAGTCCGGAAGATTTCAACTTTAACAGACATCTTGACCGGCGGAAAAAAATTCTAACGGAAACTCTGCCGTACGGTCCCCTCGTCCCTTGGAAGAGGCGGAGAGGTGGATGTTTGTCATCTGCTGGTGGACTACCGGGGAGATTTACAGCAGGAGCACACGCTTGCTTCGGGAAGGGAGAAAAAGAGCCAGAGCCCTGCCTCTCCCCACCTCTGCTGCTAAATCCACCGCGGAGAATAAACAGAAGGGCAACCATGGCAACCATGCATGCTCGGGAAGTCTTCTTCGCTGCTTTTGGTGTATTTTGTGGCGGAAGTACATCGCCACTTACAGGCCCGGCATATGTACTACAGCGTCTCCAGCGGGTCGAGCGGTCTCGTGTGGATGGACACGTTTCTGGTGCCGATTGCGAGTGGACGGAAGACTTTTTTTATATCGAATTCGGTTCGTTTTCGTTACCGTCTCCGTGTGGCTAGGGCCTCAGTGAAAGCACCGCCTGCTGACCAATCAGAGCTCAGTGTGCGG